AGCGTCGCTGTGGCCTCGGCGGGCGGCAGGCTAGATTTTCGCCCCAGCTTGCAATGAGCTAAGTGTCCGTGTAGACGAGCCCTGAGATTGGGAGTTCATCAGGGCCAGGACTGTCCCTCTCGATGTGCACGTGCAGCACCCAGCTCCAGGAGCTGCCGAAATCCGTGTTAGAGCTGGACAAGAAAAGAGCTTGATTAGCTCACTGGTGTGGTCTCCTCTGCTTCCCCAACTTCATGCAGTGTCACTGAGCTCAGGGCCCTATTCCGCTAGGCACTGCACATGCACACAGCGAGAGACAGTCCCTCCCTCCAAACAACACCTTACAGCTTAGGGGAGAGCCAATAATTTATAGGACTAACCTCCCCCCCCTTTTTCCCTAATGGATGTACATTGTCCAAGAGCTTTATTCTCGAGCTTTATTTCTCCTCTGACAATTTTGTCGAGATTTATTTGCTGTTCTAAATGTTGGGCCGGGTCATTTCAGCAACGCGGTTCTTGTTTCGTCAGCTGTTTGCAAGCATTCAAAGTCTGTGCGGCGCTGCTTAGTTTTTGATTGGCTGTACTGGTTGCTTGGTTCCTCTTTGCCCTCCCTAATTGGATGAGGGTGGTTCTTAGGGCGTGATCCTCATTTACCCTTAAGGCCCCTTTACACCGACGTCTGGCAGTGCAAAAGGATTTCCACCCATTTTGAAAACCTCTTTATACCGCCACAGCCATGTAAAGAGACCTTAGGATAAATGAGACTTGGGCCTATTTCAATCTGAATGGTAAAGGCCCGATCCTGCAAATCCTTGCTCTCTCTTGAGTATTCCTTACTCCGGGGGGTGAGTCATTGGACTACCAGTGGGAGAAAGGGTTTAACAGGGATCGGGGCCCAGTTTGTTAAAATGATCGTCAGACACGCCACCGTTTTTGTGGCCTTGTAACAGGGGAGGCCTGCCAACCGTAGTCCCAAAGGAGGCACGCACCTGAGCAGGGGTTTGGCTGATTCCCCTATACGGAGCAGCAGGAAGCTGCAAAGAGTGGCTCCGGCAGTGAAATCTGGGATTTGGGAGTGAGCTTACATGCATGTGACACTGATCTGTTGGGAGCCTAGCTGTGAGGCCTGGCAGAGAGAGAGATTGATGTCAGGATGTTGGGGGCCCGCCTGGAGGCAGTTTGCTCTCTCTGGGTATGTCTTCACTACCCGCCGATCCGGCGGGTAGCAATCGGTCTATCGGGGATCGACTTACCGCGTCTCGTGAGGACGCGGTAAAATCGATCCCTGATCGCTCTGCCGTCGACTCCGGAAATCCACCTCGGCAAGAGGCGGCAGCGGAGTCGGCGGCAGCGCGGCAGCGGTCGGCTTTCCCCCGTCCTCACCGCCAGGTAAGCCGACCTAAAATACGCAACTTCAGCTACGGTATTCACGTAGCTGAAGTTGCGTATCTTAGGTCGGAACCCCGCTGTAGTGTAGACCTAGCCTCTGACAGGTCTGGTTCTCAGTTGCCCAGCAGCCATTTGCACCAGTGCAAAGTGGGTGCAAAATAAACACAACAGCATGGCGGTGATTTACACCCCAGCTTTGCATCGGGGCAAATGGCTGCACGACCTGCAGGGCAATGGAGAATCAAGCCCTTTAATCTTCCCCGACACAGGCTTTTCAATCCAATAAGAAGCCAATCCTCTGAGCGCTCTTCAGTTTCCATTTGCGGTGCCCTCTGCTGAAGTGCACAGTGCGATAAGACGCAGCCTGCCCCGGTTTAGGTGGCCTTATCAGCAGATAAGGGCAGGCAGCGCTCCCATTTGTCAGGAGCAAACGGAATAGAGGATCCGTCCAGCAAAGGACGCCTCTTCAGTCGACGTTGCTAATGACAGCTAATTTAGAGGCGGGGTGGGTGGGGAGGACGGGGGAAGTGGTCGCAAGTGCAGTGACCCTCCAGGTCTGACAGGCGAGGTGGAAAAACGCTCGGACAAGGTCATTAGGACAGTGGGGATGCAGCGGTGTACCTGATGTGTTGGGACACCGCAGGAGACAACCCTGGTGTGTTTAAAGTATCCAAATGCTCAGTGTGTCTCTGAGAAAAGAGCAGGGCCTGAAGGAAGAAAGGGACAGGTGTGCATACTGGCCCTCCTGTGCTCCGAAGAAAGAAGGGGCAAGCTATTATTATTTATTGATTTGTAATATCCTAGTACTTACCTCTGCAACTGAGATTGGGGAACTGTGACGCTAGGTGCTGTACAAACATATAGTAAGGGTGTGTGTACATGGGGAGTTATTCTGGAGTAGCTATTCCTGCTTAACTTTGCCTGCTTAACTCCCTGCGTGGAGACTCGAGTCAGGAATCAGAGTTTCTTATTCCAAATTAGTTTAATCCACTTCCCAAGTGAATTAGTTTAATCCATTTTGGAAGCGGATTAAGCTATTTTGGAATAAGGGACCTCTTATTGCAGAATAAGAGCATTCACACAGGATGTTAATCGGGAATAACTATTCCCCTTTAAACTCGCACCCTACCTTAATCTGAATTAATTTCTCAGTGTAGACAAGAAGAGACAGTCATTGCCCTAGAGCTTCCACCCTGAGTTGGCAAGGCAGGCAAATGGTCCAGTGGGTAGGGCAGTAGAGGTGGAAGACCTGGGTTTCATCCTGGCTCTGCCATTAACAGGCTGGGTGACCGGGAGGGCAAATCATAGGAACTGTCAGACTGGATTGGACCTGAGGTCCACCTTCTCGAGGATCCTGGCTCTGACAGCGACCAGCTTCAGCCCTGCTAATGCATCCATACTATGCTATGCCAACCTTCTGACTCGGGCTTGAGCTGCATCCACACTGCAAAATGATAGGGATTGGACCCGAGTCCCAGGAGGATTTGCGCTCTGACCCACACCTCAGGCACGGGCCTAAGACGCAGGTCCTAAGTGCTTGCTGACCTGAGTCCGACTGCTCTGTGTGTGTGGATGGAAGTGGTGCTTGGGCTCAAACCTGAGTCAGAGCCCAGGCTTTGTGTGTAGTGTAGACACACCCTATTAGTTAGACTCTGTCTAAAGCATAAGGTTTCCCTGCTGTGTGCTTCACTTGCCCCCTTCTTCCCTTTTTTCCCTCTGGACCATAAGATCTTTGGGCACTCTGGCCCATGTATGTACAGCACAATGGGGAGATTTGGGACTTGCGTTCCTAAACCCCTTAGGCGTAATAGAACGAGTGTGTTAGTTTAATACAAATAAAGGATGAAGACAGAGAGCCTTATCCTCCTTTTACTAATGGGGAATTAAGGCACAGCAAGATGAAGTAGCTATTCCAGGGAGTCTGTGACAGAGGCAGGAATGGAACCCACGTACCTGATACCCAAACCGACACCTGAACCCCATGGCCGGCCTGTCTCTCTATCTCTCCACCCATTGAGGTCAATGCACTGACCCCTTCTCTTCGCTGCAGCATGGGGGGCTACAGAGTGGTGCACTGGGGCACTCCTGACAGCCTTGCACCTTAGCATGTGAATTGGTGGCTATGGTGGATTTAATAAGGGCCGGAGCAGCGAGTGGTTAACGAAGCAAAGGGGATTGGCTGTGGCCTTGGAGGAGCAGGGATGCCGTGTGAGAGAACCCGCTATCTGTGTGCCAGAAGCACCCAAGACCGGCAATGACCACTGCTGATTTGGAGTCAAGGGAAGGCAGAGTACAATGGCAGGGAGTTATGTCCAGTGGGCTCTAGCTGGTACCTCTGTGTCATGCAGTAGTGAGAGGTGCCACTTTGGGGCCAAAGGGAGAGGGCTTGATTCACCGTGGACTCACACCTGTCGTGCAAAGTGAGTGTGCAATGCTGCCGGATCAGAATGGGCAGCATTTCCCGCTCGCTTTTGCACTGGTATACAGTGACAGCACGAGGTTCAAGGCAATGGAGAATCAGGCCCCGAATTTGCGACGCCTTTGAGACAGGATCACAGAAACCTACGGGCCTGATTCTATTCACCCGGTGCCTTGTGCAGTGGTTTACACCCGTGCGAATTGGGGGTAAAACTCTACCATTTGGGTTTGGGAGCATTTCCCACTCCCTTTGCATAAGAGCAACTAATTACACAAAAGAGGCCATGACACCCACCATAAGGCCCTGTCATACTGGTGTGATGAGGCATCCCCTGGTGATCTTTACCCACTTGCACTGGTGTAAATGAGTGGGCAAGGCGCAGGGCAGCGGAGAATCGGGTCTGCAGTTCTTATTGCCATTGGAGCCTGAGTCTCGAGGCCCATTTATCTAATCTGGCCTTAGGCCCCTTTACGCTGCCAGAGTGGGGTAAAGGGGTCTTGGCAGAAGTGAGAATCAGCCCCCTTGGCTTTAGTTCTGCAGCTTCCAGTGAAGCGTGCGCTTTGAGCTACCGCAGCCCGTGCCAAAGAGATCTCTCCTGCTCAAAAATCAGGCTTAAAAGCCAGACAGATGGTGGCTCTGCTGGGGATTTTGCTAAAATGTATTTTCCCTTGATTCTGCCATATGTAACGTCCAACGGCGATCATCATCCTTGCCCTTTGGTAGCATCCGCCTTGGGAAGCGCTCGGCGGATATGAATCGGTTAGGCTCCGCAAGGGCCCAGAGGAGGAGGGGGAGGCTCAGTATTATCCTCCCCATTGTCCAGTTGGGGAAACTGAGGCATAAAGAGGGCAAGTCTTCTGCTCCCACCACTCTGGCTGCATAGCCCTTTACATTTCCCATAACACCTCACTCGGCAGCCTGCCCATAGCGTGTGTTTTCCCCTGTGTTCCCTTCTCTGTCCATGCTAGCAGCGTGGCTGGCCCAGTCAGGAGATCCATAACCCACATAAACCACATGGATCCAAAGTCCTTCCCCCCACCCCGCCCTCAGATCCAGATTGGATGCCTTTCTGGACGAGATGCGTTAGTCAAACACAAGTCACTAGGCTCAGTCCGGGGGAAACATGGATGGAGCTCGGCGGCCTTTGTGCGGCAGCCGGTTGCGCTGCAAGTTCTATCTATGAGTCTCTGAATCTCCTGCCTTCTCCCTGCAGGTGACCTTCACCAAGCGGAAGTTCGGTTTGATGAAGAAAGCCTACGAGCTGAGCGTCCTGTGCGACTGTGAGATCGCCCTGATCATCTTCAACCACTCAAACAAGCTGTTCCAGTACGCCAGCACGGACATGGACAAGGTGCTGCTTAAGTACACCGAGTACAACGAGCCGCACGAGAGCCGGACCAACGCAGACATCATCGAGGTGAGACCTGGCCTTCCCTTCTCCCCACCCTCAACGAGGCTAGAGTCGGAGGCCCTGTTTGTAACTCCAGGGTCGCCAACCCTGGAGTCGCTACAGGTTCGCCAGAATGGCGAGGCTCGCCATGTTTGGTGTCTCCCTTAAAAGTCCCAGCTCCTGGAGGCATGTGATGGTGGGGGAATCTTAGCTTTTCTTTAAAAAAAAGAAGGAAGTGTCTAGCCCTGGAGATTGCAGAGAAAAGCTGGGAAATGTGGCCGCTCAAGATTCAGAAATGAGGAGGCGAGTGAAAGGACCCCAACTTTATTTCTGTCTTTAAAATCTCCTGATTTTAAAGCCAATCTCATGATTTCTTAGCCCCGACTCATGATTTTGGAATGCTCGGGGCTGGCGCTTCTGTAACTCCAGTGTTGCCAGCTCTCGCGGTTGTATCGTAGTCTTGCACTGTGTGGTGTTGCTCTTAAAGCACCAGCTGCTGGAGTCATGGGATGATATGAAAATGTAAGCTTTCTTTAAAAAAAAAAGTAAGTTTCTAGCCCTGCCTGTGGAGAAAAGCTGGAAAATATGGCGTGAGTGAACTCTAAAGGCTCAAAACCAGATTTCAAATAAAAAGAAGCCCAAATTTATTATCTTTTACAAATCTCATGATTTTTGAAGCCAGACGCATGATTTCTTGGGCCTGACTCATGGGTCGTGAATGATGAGGAGAGGCAGTCTGACACTCCAGCTAATTCTGTGCCAATTAATTTGAGTTAACCAACCCCACTGGAAAATACTAATGTAGACACTCTGAAAATGTTTGTATTTACCACTCCCCCCCCACGTGTTCAGGGGGTATTTCTTTACTTTCTTCCTCCAGAGCATGAGGGGTGGCCACGGCTGGGGATGGGACATTGGAGGGGGAGGAATTCTCTCTCTCCGGTGCTTGGCTGGCTGGTTCTTGCTCCCATGCTCAGGGTCTAACTGATTGCCATCTGTGGGGTCAGGAGGGAATTTTCCCCCAGATTGGCAGGGCTGTTGGTTTTTTTTTCACCTCCTCTGTAGTGTGTAGGTGTAGGATTATCTGAGTCTGTCTCAATCAGGGCCCTCGGGCCCTGGTGCACCTCGGTCCCTCCCGTTCTCTGCCTGTGGCTCATTCGAGGCTAGTCTCCTGTGGGCTGTGATATTTTGGTTGTTGGGTTTGGTGTGTGGGTGTGGGGCGATGTTTCATGGCCTGTGCTGCACAGCCGCTCAGACTCGATGATCTGGTTCTTGGTTCTGGATGGAAGGAGGCCGGGGAGCAAGGTATCTTGACCTTGAGCTAAAGCTCTAAATTGCAAATAGGATCGAGGGGCTGATAGAAACCAGGAGCCCTACCCACACACAATCCCTGCTCCTCTGTGTAATCGCCATGATATCAATGGGCGTATTTACATGAGGAGGAAAGCTTGCTGGAGCCGATTTCATGAAATGAGCATGGATTTGCCGCACTCAGGGAGTCTTTCATAAAATTAGGTGTTGTACATTGAGTGGTAGGTGCCTGGGGGAGATGGCTGGATTGGCGTAGGGGATCAGTAGCAGAGCCTTTCACCTCCAGGCCAGCTGCTAACATCCAATCCAGGACAAACACTCGGACACGTCTGGTTGCTGCTTGGTGGGTCTCGGTCCAGTTTCCAGTGGGCAAGTGGCCATTGAGCCACATCAACCATTGCATTAATTAGCTGCCTTCAACACAGGGGCCAAGGAGTGCATGGGCAATAGAGACCGCGCTCCCGTCTCTGCCCTCATGAGGATCCGGCTGAATTAGGAATGAGGCACAGTCGTTGGGCTAGAATTTTGGAAGAACTCAGGGACAAATTTCCAGGCGGGTCAGCATCGGCTCCCAGTTTAGGCACCCAAAAAAGTGGCAGGGTTTGCACAAGGGGGCAGCACTTTGGATAACTGTTGGGTGCTGGGCTCTTCTGGAAGTTTGGCCATCGGTGTCACCACGGGAGCTGCGGTGTGCAGAAGTCTTTTGCAAATCTGACTTTTTTCTTCCGGTGCCTAGACGGAGGCCGAGCAGAGCTGGTTGCCTGGTTTTTTTTGATTCAGTGAAAGCTTTTCAGTGAAAAATAAAGCAACCAATTCTGCTCCTCGCATTTTTTTCCATGAAAAGCTCATCGAAAAACGGGGAGGTTTAATCCAAAACAAAACTTTCTACCCAAAAACGATAGTTGTTGACAAAAATATTTGGATTTTCGTCAAAAAATAAACAGATTTTTTTTAAAGGCTGCATTTTTGTGCATTCTTTTTTAGTGAAACTATTTTGGTTTTCATTGAAAATGGGGGAAAGTACCGTCACAACCCTAACATTTCAGGGCAGAACATTTTCAACAAAAAAAGACTTTTTCTTATTTTTGGTCTAAAATTTTCACTGGGGGGGTGGGGGTGGGGTCGTTTCCCAGCCAGCTCTAAAGCCGGATTCTTCTAAAAAGCTGAACCCGGTTGTGGGTGTTGAAACAAACCAGGCGTGAGTATGCGTGTGTTCAAGCACTAGCATGTGTCCACATTAGAGTGACCGTATTGGCAGCTGATGAGTTGTGCTCACTCGAGTTTTAATAGACGCCGTTTCTGAGTCATTTTTCACTGCAGAGTTAGCTCAAGTGATCTACACTCGAGTGACTCCTCTTGTGTGAGCCGAGCTCGGGTGAGAACTGCCACATGGTGAAATAACCCTCAAGTTGCTGTGTCCACACTGGCACTGGTGCTAGGACTTCTGGAGACACATCCCGGGGTCCTTAGCGCCGCAGGAAGCTGAGCTGCTCTATGAATTTTTTCCCAATGAATTGTGGGAGAACCTTTCCGGACGCACAGGGGGAATTGTGGGAAAGCATTGGAGGACTAGCTGCACTTGAACGCTGCTGCCTTGTGTCCACACTACAGAGTGGTCGTGTTAACAGCTGATGAGTTGCGCTCACTCAGGTTTTGGCCTATACATCCCTCTCAGGCCAGACAGCTCGAGTGAATAGCATCACTGCACGTGAGTGATAGGGTTTTGTGTGTGGACGGGGTTAGGGGCAACCCTGGGGTTATAACTCGAGTTAACTTTGCAGTGAAGATGACCAGGTTTGTGCAGAACTTGCACTGCCGCAGACACCACTGAGAACCGTTCTGCATTGGAGCATCTCCACCTCTCAGCGGTCAATCCAGCTCCCTTCCCACCAGCAGCGAATTCGCAAGCACGAAAGGACCAGCGAGACGTGCGCCATGTTCCCGAGAGCGGAGAGAGCTCTGATTAGAGCCGCGCGCTTGTCACTTTCGATGAAGAAGCTGCATGTGGGCAACTCCCTCTACGTCCGAGCAAATTTAGACAAATGAATGGGTTGGCTGGGTAATTATTGCCATTACAGGCGGACGTAAATTAACACACAGAGAGCACACAGAGCCTCTAGTCATTCAATTTATCTGCTGGAGATGGTATGGATGCAAAGGATCAGCGCAACCACTGCACAGGCAGAATGATGGCGCGTGGACCTCACGCAGCAGCAAGGTTTAACCTCTTCAAAGCGCTGCTGGAGAAATAATTTCCCCCCTGCTGATCTGGCCATGTCACGTCTGCTTTTAAATCCTTGTGGTGCGATCTGGCAGCCTCCCTCATCTCTCTGAGGCTTTGATTTCATGGGGGCGGTGGGGGTAACTGGAACCCTCCCAAATCTTGCTTTTTCTTTTCTTTTCTTTTCTTTTCTTTTCTTTTCTTTTCTTTTCTTTCAAATATATGCCTCATTGCTTTTTTTTTTTTTTGGAGAGCAAGCTTTGAACTAAGAAGCTTCCACCTCTTTGATCAGCTGATAAAATCCTGGAGCCTGATTCTCATTTAGGCTATGTCTACATTAGGAGCACTTTACCGGTATTGCAATACCAGTCTACTCGAGCGGCAAAGCGCTCCTAGAGTGGACGCAGCTGTACTGGCAAAGCCGTGCTCTGTACCCGCATAGTAAAACCACTCCCCTACGAGCGAAGCAAGCTAAACGGTGTTGTCGTTATAACTTCATCTTGTGCCAGCACAGCTCTGTCGGTCAGAGATCCCACCCTCCACCCCCCTGACTGATACAGCTATGCCAGCAGAAGTCTGTAATGTAGACTTGGCCTCTCTCACAGTTTTTGTACTGGTATAACTATGTCAGTTAGGGGTGTGATCTTTTACCTATATACAGTACAATCCTTAGTGAGGGTGCAGTTATATGGGTAAAATGTTGTCTTATCCCAGTGTAGCTTATTCTCCTTCTGTACAGGCATAGCTATACCAGTGTAAGAGTCTTACATTGGTAGAGCTGCGTCCATACTAGGGAGCTTCACCACTGCAACTCTAGCGGGGTAGTTAAAGTGGTGTCTACACACAAAAGCTGTAGTGCTTTGAATTCACTAGGGCGACAAGGGATGACGCTGTTTGGTCTTTCTTACTGGACCTGTTTGCATGAAGGCCCCTTTACACAAGGGTGACCAGATGTCCCGATTTCATAGGGACAGTCCCGATATTTGGGACTTTTTCTTATATAGGTGCCTATTATCCCCCACCCCCTGTCCCAATTTTTCACACTTTCTCTCTGGTCACCCTACTTTACACCGCTTTGGCAGGATAAAGAAGTGTTGGTGGGAGAGTGGGTGTAATTTACGCCCACTTCCGTACAGGCGTGAATGAGTGGAAATGAGAACCGTGTCCCTTGGGTAGTTGTATCTACACCACTGCAAAGTCAGTGAAAAATTCTGCCCTCCTGATCTGATGGGGTTTCACCCCCGCTTCGCGCTGGTGGAGATGACCATACCAGGTGCCGAGCGAGCCCACAACGGCTCTGATACTGCTCTCATTGACACTGGGGTAAATCCTCTGTGACTCAAGTCGGTGGAATTACCCTGGTGCCAGTGAGCTCAGAATCAACCCCCTGCCTGGGCGGAATAACTGCCCCCCACCCAAGAGATGCAGCCGTTTGCTCCCACATGAGTGGAGCTGTGTGAAGTCCCTTCTTTGCTAGTCTATAATAACATCCTCG